CCCACCTCTCATATCCCTGGCTTTCCAGTGGGGCACAGGGCAAGAGGAATAGCAGAAGAGGAGTTTGAACTTGAGATCACTGGAGATCCCTACTGTCTTGAAGATCCCTACTGTCTTGCTCATTGCGGGGGGGGGGAGGAACAAACTCTGGGACAGTTTAGAGGTTGTCGAGTCTAAGAATGGATTTAGGTTAGGATGAGGTAGAATGGGGCACAGACAGGCCACATACCTGGAATCACCTGCTTTTGGCCAAGTTCTATAATCAGAGGGTCCCTGGACAGAGAGGTGTCAATAATGCGTCCATCTACCAAGCTGCCCTGAGGGGAGACAGCATCAAGAGCTAACCCGGACCACCAAGGCCCGTCCCGGCAGGCGACAACATAAACCAGGACCCCGGACCGCTGGGTGGCGGCAATACCCACCCCCCAGCTTCAAGCCAGGCGTTCCCCCACCAGGGCGGAAAGGAACAGGAAGCCCCAGAGAGCTGACACATCTAGAGGAGATCTCTCCACCCTTCATTTCTCGGTGTCAGGGAGGAACTGGCAGAAAAGCAAGGAGGGGAAACAGGCGCCCATCCCCCCGCCACGTGCGGGCGGACCCGCAGACCCCAGTCCCCCCCCCCAGCTGACTGCCACGTGTCCAAGCCAGGGCTGACGTGTTTCAGCGGGGTCCCGCCCCTTCCCAGGCCCCGCCCCCAGGCCTCTCACCGTGTAGTGAATGTGGAGCGTGTCTCCAAAAGCCGCGGGTTCCGCACACGGTTCGGGGGGCTTCACCTGCGATCGGACTGCAGGGATCACGGATGCTCCTCCGAAGATCCCGTTCTTGCCCGTCCCTGGACCCAGCACCACCTCCCCAGCTCAGAGCCCGCGCCTCTCTCTCCTCCCCACACCAGGGCCCCCGCGAGTCCCCGCCCCGCACGCGGGAGTTGGGGCCGGTGGTGTCCTCACCAGGGTCTCCACTTGGACGGTCCGCACCGGACTCTCGGTTCCGCCCTCAGCCCTCGCCCCGCACACCGCTCCACTAAGCAGCAGCAGCTGCAGCAGCAGCAGCTCGCGGAGAGTCCGGAGAGAGGGTCGCAGAGCCATGGCTGGACCAGCTGCTCAGGTGAGGGCGACTAGGACCGGGTTTCCTCTGCGCCCAGGCCACACTGGACGGGGAGGGCCGCGTAGAGCGAGCTCCTCCTCCTGCAGCCTACCCCCGCCCCACCTAGTTCCCACCCCCCTGGGGGGAGGAGGCAGCCAGGAGCCCTTCCTTTCGTCTCCACCCGGAGCTCACCGATTCTGGCCAATTCTGTCCCGTAAAGAGGGGGGTGGGCCACATGGCAACCCTGCCGCATGCCTATTGTGTGAGCAAATACCCTGAGAGGTAGGCACTGGTGTTGCCAAGTTTGCGCATCTAAGAAACGGTGCTCAAGTTAACTTGCTGCAGGTCAAGCTAGGTGATCAGGGACAGGATTCAAACCCCGCGTGTTTGTTCTCTACTCGCTTCTCGGACTGGCTGGCCCCACCCCAGCAGGTGTCTAGGGTGGCGTTCTCCTCCCATCTCACCCTGCCACCGGGGTCTCTGGAGAATATGCATCCGACAAAAAGCAGGCGGCTCTTTTAGCCTCCTTCCCTCAGAAAGCTAACCGCAAAGCCCAAGAAGCTATTGTCTTGAAGTATGGCGAATCCCTGATTCACCCCCCCCC